TATAAACATTGCCAAAATTTTGCATCTTTCTAAATTTTCGAACTGAAACGTGGAGTTTTTATAATTTACAAGCATAGCGAACCAGAAAAGTGTTAGATATTCAGTTAGTATATTAACATGTCTTACAAATATAGCAGTTCAAAAATATGTAAACAAAGCGTTTGTTATACGGATTTTACAGCATCTTAAAAGACGATAATTGATAAATTTGTTCAAAAAAAATTAACGTTGTACTTACGAAACAGAAAACTCGACTTTATCAATGGCACAAAGAATTCTTACGAAGAGAGTTGAAGTGCAAACAAAATAAGAATGATTTACATTTGCAACGCTTCCGATTTCCTGCAGGTTTTGTTGTTGTTTTTAATTTATATATGCTGCTACTTTAACATGCTTTACATGAAGTTTACGGTCAGGGCTATTTCAGATCCGTCAGAGATCTTACATTGTTTGCTTTGAATAGTTTCTTCCGAATTCGAGTATATATAAATATGAATGTGCTTTGCACGAGTTACCAACGAGTTACCAACGAGTTACCCTAAAAATCAATATAGTTTTTACTATAATATAACGAGTTACCACGAGTTACCACTAAAAAAATTAGAAAAAAATAATTATTTATTTTTAAAATTTTTAAGTGGTAACTCGTGGTAACTCGTTCTAATATAGTGAAAAGTATATTGATTTTTAGGGTAACTCGTGGGTAACCCGTTGGTAACTCGTTCGTTATCAAACAGTTTATTACTTATAAAGTTTATAATGCAATGGAGATAACAATATAAGTTTAATATAATTTAATCCTATTTAACTTGGCTTAAATACTGATGATAACAATGGCATTTAATTTAATTTAAAGGACATTACACACTTAAATTGCCACAAAATGTAATATTTAATGCGTTGTCCTTTTGACTTGATCACCATGTCAATGTGTTTGTCCATGGACTCAATTGTCCTATTAATAATAGTCTGACGAATAGTTCAACAAGGTCGCTTTAACCCTTGGACAAAACTGCGAATAGGTTGCTTTCGTGCATGATTTGTTTGTTTTATATATCAAGTGTCTACTATTATATTATCAGAAATATACACATAATATGCATATAAGGAACGGTGAGGAGAATCAATCCCCTATTTGCCTTTCTCCTTCCCTTTTTTTCACCCCCCCCCCCACCTCCCCACCTACTCTGACTACCACCCAGATACACATTGATAAACAACTAACATTAACTAATTAACAAATTAAGGTTAGCAGCGAGTGTGATCAGTTCACATTTTCGCGAGACACAAGAATTTCGTGGGTGACCTCATCTATAATAGTATGGGTTACGCCCAAGAAGCCACGCCCTACTCTGTGCGTCAAACGTTTCAATGACGTGTGAAACTTATTATGTGAACCATGCAACGCATTGTTCCCATATATACAACTCATTTATAAAGAATCTGAAATTGTTTAAAACACAAAGTTTTATGATTTATTAAGACAATCCTTCACAAAAATTATTGAGACTTGCATATTTATCTGTAAAATTAGCAAATTCTTACCCTCAGGAGCTCGTCCTTCCTCCCACCCCCCTCCCTCCCCCTTCAAAACAATGTTGACTGTTATTGCAAGCATTGTGCTACACAATTTCAACTCAATCACGAGCAACATTGCTCTGTAGGGGGGAGGGGAGAGGAAATTATGCTTTCACATGGGTAGTCTCATAATTTTTGTGAAGGATTGTCTGAAATTTAAGAAAAATTGGGAAAGGGTACTCGGTCTTCCATTTTTTTTGACATTATGTTCTTTTGTGCATTTAGCTTAGTATACAAGTAACGTAAGAAAAACAAACAGTTTGGGTTTGTAAGAAACTGGTGTTAAGCGGGAGGGGGGGGGGAGGGGGAAGGGAGGCGGGGGGGGCGGCTACTGTGCTCTAATACTGTTTATCTTTTTTTTAAATAGCATTTCCTGCATTCTGAGAACACATTTTAAAAAAATTCTCAGCTTCTCAACACAAAGTTTTAATGGTGAAATTTGTAATAAATTGCACGCTAAACATTCAAACACAACTGTTAAGTTTATGTATGCTCGCCAATAAATTTTGTTTTTTTAACTTGTTTTCAATGTTAAACTCGTTTACCCAATACAGGTCATATTGCCCTAGCTTTGGGGCAATAGGCCATTTTTTTCTTCAATGGTGGGGCAGATGAAGGGGTCCAGTGGGGCAAATGCCCCACCAGTCCATGTTATTTTTAAAAATGACTTGATCACTCATGTTTCTACCCTAGACACGATAATCGTGAGTTAAAATATCAGTTGAAGGGTTCAGTCATTGTTCATGGAAATACATTGGAGATGACAGAAATGTGTAATGATGTAATATGTTTATTTCGGTTTGCGCCAGTTGCACTACTCTTTGTAAATCCCCAAAATATTATATGGTATGGATTCTTTTTTATTTTTGGTCGCTGGGGCATGAGGCTAACGACTTTAAGCTTTCTTTTCAGTTTTTCTACTCTTTTTTTCAGTCACAATTTGAGGCATTACGTAATCTTTCAACTACAAATCAATGATCTCACTGGGTTGCCATTTGTTCTTCCACCTTCGGACCCGTGCAATTTCGAACATCTTTCAAAAATTCAATCGTGCATGTTTTTTCAATACTATAACAGTTTTGATAATATACATGAAATCATATTTCAATTCTGAGTGGCAAAGAGCAATACAATGCCAAGAAACGAAATAGAAGGCAGAAAAAGAAATATAGGGCGAATAAAATAATTTTCTTAAGTTTTTAAATTTTTTTATTTTTTTATTTTTCAAATTTCTTAATTTTTTTAATTTCTTAATTTTTAAATGTGACTTACGCACGTGAATACATTATTAATAATTAAATTCGACGATAGTACGACGTATGAAACAGGCCTTACATGTACTCAGTGACGTCACGCGCATGCTTTTACTGGCGCCTTGAATTTTTAGGCCCGCGAAGGAGCAACAGGTCAACACTTTTCCATCAACCAAACTGACGTGATTTTCGCAAGATAGGAGTGTTAAATGGCTCTGTAACCAACCCTACCCTTACTCTAACCCCAACCCTGACTGTAACCTTAACCCTAACCCTAACCCTAACCCTAACCCTAACCAAAATGATAAAATAAATCCAAAAAGAATCAATTTTTATATTGAGCAAATAACGTAATGTCAGTTTGATGGTTGGAAACGAGTGAAAACCGGAGCAAGAACAACTCTAAATTTTGATGCTAAAGTTGCGGATGAAACTGTTTAAAATGCTCATGTAAATAAAAACAATCCAGCGATACCTGACTAATTTGCTAATGTTTTCAGCATCTGGGCTGCGGGATTTGGCATGAAATATGTTAAATCATTCGTAGATTTTCGTAGTGTTGCTCAGTTCTATTTTTTTAAATTATTGTATTTTTTGTCTATTTTTTGTGGCAATGCCACAGACCACAGTGTATTACTGGGTTATAACGCACGCGGATTAGCCAATCAAATTGCATGTTGTATCCCACTTATACAGGGTGTATAAATAAAAACGCAACCTCGGAATTTCCTTAGAAATCACTGTGCAATTCTTAAGCATAAAAGATTTTAGGGCCGCTGGGAATTGAAATCGTATTGCTAATAGATCATATTACTGTTGTTGTGCATTAAATAAATGCATAAATTTTGCTTTATGCACTCGCGTGTGCAGTAATTTTCACAGTTGTGCTATTTTAAATTCCCAGGCGCCTAAAATCTTTTGTCTTTAAAACAATGTCGATTTCTTGGGAAATTCCGAGGTTGCGTTTTTTTTTATACACCCTGTATTATAAAGGAAGTGCTAGCATACTTATGTACCTCGCCTACACAAAGAACATTCCTGAATTATTTAATTTAATTAACCCGTTCAAAGAAGAACACGTCAAAATCAATGCGTAGGCATTGTTAGTACAGATTTCCTTTGACTGATAATACCCTATATTCTGGTATCTAATTTCTATATGTATATTATTCTATTATATGAATATTATATGTTCTTATAAACTAACAAATGTGTTAACATGATCCAAGTGGAAAGCAGTCAAGCGTTTTTCACACGTACAGACATACGTAGTCGTAGACAACTTTAATTAAATCTTCTAAATGTTATATAAGTACTAATCACATTAACAAATACACTTCAGTTCATGCACAGAACTAGATGCTTTTATCCATTCAGTTATTTCATAAGAAACTTTTAAAAGGATTAAAATTTCCGTGGAGAGCAGCTTTACATTTCTTTTCCGGCAGCCGGAAGTGATTCGATCACCATATTATATCATCATAAATGTTAAATTTTAGTTCAAACACGTTTACTTACCTCTACTTCACGGCGTCTTTGCCATTTTGCTGTATTATACATCAGATTTCAGACCGTCTGTGACATTTATTAAAAATAGTTTTCTTATCCACCATGTTGTTCTGTTTATTATTATTAATTTATGGCCAAACCCAAATTCAACACTATCCGTACAAATAGTCGACAAAAATCAATTAATCGTCGTTAATGTTTCACTTATTAGGATATTATTCATCACGTAGTGGTCTCGTTAAAATCTTTCGGTAAAAAGGTAGGAGACTGCCGCTCGCAAACGACACACATTCCCGACACTGTATTTGATCCCAAGGATAGTTTCCGAGAGAGTGTTTCATTATTTGTTGTGTCTGCTCTACTTTCAAAATGCGAATGCCAAAATAGCAGCTACTACCGCGAAATATGTCAGCCTCAGCCTTGTATTGAGATCAACCAGCAACAGGCTAGACTTAGCGAGTAGCTACTAGCTAAAATATGCAAAAGTAAGTTTAATTTAACTCACCGTTCAGAACGTGCGGATCGATCTATTCCATTTCTACAAAGAAAGCATTCGCTTTACACAACGTGTAGACTATTATTATTACCTTTGAACATAAAAGAATTTCAAGGTTCTCTTTATTTCTCGGTTTTCTGCTTATTTAGTGAATTGATTCAAGGACGCACTTCCGTACGCCAAATCGAAGGGAAACCGATTGTCTGAGAATTTATCCTTCAAAACAGGAATTTTATATCCACCATATACATTTACATGTTAGAGTACCCAACACAACCATAGGCATACGGGAGAGAAAAATAGGGAAAAATATGGAGCCAGACATAAATATGCCCGAACGTTGATACAAATTGCCGGACAAATACAAAATTTTAGCGTCATAAACTTCTCATAATTTCAAAATTATGTGTTGGTAATACATACATGGGTAATATTATGGGTAATACATACATGACGACTTTGCACCCTTTGAACATATTACAAAAGAAAGCTTTGCATTTAATGACATTTTCAAATTTTGATGAACACACTGAACCTATATTCAAAAGAAATGGATTATTAAAACTAAATGATTTAATATTTCTCTATAGCTTATTATTTATTCTACAATAATAAACTTCCTTTACCATTAGAAAGCTTTATTGCCCTTATTGCCCGTTAAATTAAAAACATATTTATGACACTCGCCTAGCCTAAAAAAATTCGTATACTCTACCCTTAATCAGAACAAATTATGGAAAATTCTCTATAAGAGTTCAAGGTCCAAAAATATGGAATGATTTAGATGAAGAAATATGAATGTTGTCCAGATTCAAGTTTAAAAAGAGTAATATCAACATTAGGTTAAACCTTTATTAGTTTACCTAATATAATAACGATAATTTTTTTTTTTGGTATTTTATGATTTGTATAAGCAGTTTTCGTTTATTTGCGACCACAACATCTCTCAAATAAACCAGAGGTTATCTGATTGAATTAACTACTGTTAACTCAGATAACCTGCACTAATAAAGTTTATTGTATCGTATCGTATCGTATTAAAACATCAGCTGATCGCAGGGGCGTACCGAGCGGGGAAGTGTGGGGCTGTGAAACCCCCACCTTTTTTCAAAATAGTCGGTAAATTGATACTTAATTGATAGTTGTCTGTTTTTAAACAGGGTGGGTTGGTAATATTTGAATTCATAGCATCAAGCATAGTACAGGGCCACTGGACGACCACCGACAACGGGAAGAAAAAAATACGACGTGAAAATAAAGAAAGTCATTAGAATGACAATACGATAAAAAAGACGATTAAAAAAGTACGATTAAAAATGTACGATACTTTAGTGGATTTCGTCGGTAAATCCTGGAACCCCCCTTGGAAAGACCTCAGTACGCCCCTGGCTGATCGTGTTGTGTAGTTCTCACGCATGATTATCCTAAACGATCTGTTCTGTAATTTTTGTAGTTTGTTGCTAATGTTTTCCAAAGGCAACCCCACACTTGAGCACAATAATTGAAAAAAGTTTAATTATGGATTGATATATTTGTTATTACGAACTTTGCTTACGGAGACTCGAAATTAAGGAATCCGGCAGTCGTGCAACTTTTTGCTTCTCACTAATAATTATAAACATTTCCAAGTACCAAGGACGAACGATACCAGAAGAAAACGATAGACTAAAGAAATTCCTGACGTACACAAGCTAGGTGCGAGAGGACTACTTCCGTCCGGATATTTACACCCGCGAAAAGCCAGAGAGGTAGCGAAATGAAAACCCCATCAAATGTCGCGAGCGTCAACTTTGTAAGATGTAAAGGATGGTCAGAATAACTGACCATCACAGTTAAATGTTATATATATATTGGAAGGTGATATATATTACATTTGTAAACACAGTTGCACAAAAGGCACGTTTCGTAATATTCCTCCCAAGCCTACCGGCTTGATACAAAATGAGTTGAAATATTTCTAGTATTCTACTTTATTTTATAGCTCTATTTCTTCTGATTTTGAATTTGCTATAATAATTAATTCATTTGACTGTTATTCGTTTGTTTCGAAGAGGCTCATTTTTTTCACAAGCAAATCTTTGATGACAACACACGTCTTAACAAGTTTTTAGACGTTCTCTGGTTTTTAAATATTTATTATTACGAGCTTTCGACTGCCACTCTGCAGTTTTCAACGGGTGGATTACAATGAGAGTGTGATAATTACAACGGTTTACAATTATACATATAGATACAAAATGACAGAAATATGACAGTTCCGCCTACATACAAGATTAATGACTTAAATTACGTGTAAATAGATTCAGAGTGAATCTATCTACATGTAATTTAAGTCATTAATCTTGTATGTAGGCGGAACTGTCATATTTCTGTCATTTTGTATCTATATGTAATTGTAAACCGTTGCAATTGTCACACTCTCGTTGTAATCCACCCGTTGAAGACTGCAGACTGACAGTCGAAAGCTCGTAATAATAAATATTTAAAAACCAGAGAACGTCTAAAAACCTATTATGAATAATCCTGATTTTGCTTCAAACATATTTAAACACACGTCTTATACATCATTGCAGTTTAATGTTCAATTCCTTTTCTTCCTGGATTGTTATAGAAATTGAACGACATTCTTCTTCATAGTGATTAATAACATAGTTTAAACATTTCGACTTTTTATCCAGTTCTCGTTTTAACTCTTCGATTCGCAGGTTGTGCTCGACAATAAGTTCTTCATATATCTTCATCTTATTTTCATCAATTTTCAAACATTTTGAAAGACTAAATTTTGAACGACATGCAATGTTCTTCTTTTTAGTGCAAAATTTATTTGAAACTTTGCAGTATTGTGATGAGTGGCGAAAATTTACACCAGTCAGATACCATAGTGTAAACTTTCCGGGGGATTGCATAACTTCTGATGTGTAAAATATTACTGTTGACTAATATATTTTTTCGAATCTTTAAACCGAAATTATCACATTGTATCACTACATCAGTGTCCAATGGAAGGAAAAGTAAGTTAAATAATCAAAGGAATATCTCAGCACTCTCAAACAGCCTACATGTAGCATCCCAACCTCTATCCTCCGCAGAGCCTCCTTAATTATTTACAAATAACTTACATGAAGTTTCCTGAATAAAAGTGAGCGCGCGCGGTGTGATGGTAAGATTGAAATGAAGTTAGGGAGGCTCTGTCAGATAATGCGACGAAGTATGGTTTTTGAACCAAACTAGT